TCTTTTAAGAGCAGGAAGTGCTGTTATCCTTGTGGGAGAGAAAGAGATGTTGAGAGAGAGAGAGGACGTGTATTTGTGTCTGTGTGTTTTTAGCGTGTGACCAAATGTGGTAGCTTGGATGAGACTGAGCCTTTATTTTGCTGGTGTTTTATGCCTAATTTTTTAGTATCTTAACTTTGCTCTTGGCTGAGATACTCATTATCAGGCTCCAGCCCAGGAAAGAGATTTTTTTAAAGAGTGAATACCTGGCGGGTTTGCAGGTAGCATCGCGGTGTCTAAAGCACAGTATAAACCTGGAACCAGCGTTAACTTCCCTTGGTGAGTCTCAGTGCACATGTCTGTGGGAGGGGCGCTGTGAATTAGGTGAGGTCACCGAGCAAGGCTCCGGGTGTAGGGCTTGCTCTGTCACCACAGGGCGGCCGTTCTTTGCCACTACCCATTGTTTCTGGTGAGACGAGGTACTCAGGAAAAAATGGATCAGAATGAGATATCCAGTAGGAATTGCGCTCGACTTTTCAGGGCAGACCCTCAGACATCCTCAGGGCTGCAGGGGGCAGGGGAAGGGTGCCACTCCCGGCTCTGCACTGGGGCTCCGTTTCCCTTGGTTTTGGGACAGTGCCCGGGACCGGTTCCTGAAGCCCACTAAAGAATCTTCCGGGCCAGCTCATCTGCCAGTCAGGACAGGGAGTTTCCGAGTGTAGTCACACTTCAGGTGGATCCGAGTTCATCCATCAATTCGCTCACTTGTGCCTCAGGCATTTCTTGAACCTCTGCAGCATGCCGGCCCCCTGCTACTGAGGGCGCCCTGATCAACCTGGTACAGGTAGAGGCTCTGCCTCACCCAACTTGGTCATCAGAGCAGATGGACATCAAACAAATACTGACACAAGCAATCACATTTAGTGATTGTGGCAGGTGCTAGGGCCTTTCTGTAAGTAACGGACTTCCTCTTGGTCTGAATACTGTGATACAGTAATTCACCCTGAAGAAAAGGAAGCAGAGTCCAAGGTCCTGGGATGAAGTATTCAAATAATATCCACTAGTCTTGTGGTTGTATTTGAGAGCTCACTGCATGGCACGGTGAACGCTGCCCGTTATCATTGTCTTTATCTGCTTTTGGAGGTCAGGTCAGACTCCACTGGTATTTTCGGGCAGAGTCTGCTTTGGGTCCTCCCTGCAGAAATGAGGGCCGAAAGCTGGATAGACTCTGGCAGCTGCGAAGGGCCAGGCTGTGAACCGTGTCCTCACTTCAGGCAGAGCAGGGTCTGCTGCTCCCTCCAGAGCTGCGCCAGCACCTCCAGCACTCAGATGGGTTATCACATTAGAATTTCAGACCTTTGAACACTCTTCCCACCGTTTGAAGAAGCTACAATTAACATCTCCTAAGCAGCTCAGCAGAACTTGGTTGCTAGGCAACAGGCCTTTAACGACAATTTGTCCATTTCTGCCAAAAAGAGAAAAATAGTAAACACTCACATTCTTAGAAAATTGCCTGTTTTCCAACTTCTAACTTTCTTGCCACAGCGAGGCCTCCAGTTCATCGGCGTCCATTTTATTCTTTATTTAGTTTCTGTAAATCATTTAGAGACATGTTAAGAGAATAATCGAGGCTTTTTTCCGGGCCTAACCTCTGGCAACTCAGAGGCGTCTATCTGGGTGACAGTGAGTTGCCATATGTGGGCAGGTTTGACGTGGATGGACAGAGGCTCCTATGAAAGGTCGCGTGCTGGTGGTAGCCCTGCTGCAACCCAGGAAGGCGGCAGAGATCCCTGGGAGACCTCTGGGTCCTTCAGCCTGTGTCGGCACCTAGCACCTGCCAGGCCCTGTGCACACGGCTACACTTGGCCTGCTGCCGGGCCAGACCTCACTCAGATGGCCTTCTCCTGGGGAGACGTGGCGAGAAACCACGAGATTCCACACTGGGGCTGTTGCAGTTCCAAGGAAACCCGGAACCCAGCCTGGCACTGGGGAAGTCTTCCCAGAGCAGATGTGGGCTGGACTGAGACCTTGAGGCTGAGGCAGGCCGCCCCTCTTTGGCAAGGGGCAGTGTCCCAGCAGGCCCCTCCCCTGTGCCGGCAGAGCGAAGTGCTCTGAGTACCTCAGTGGAGAGGGCTTGGGGCTAGTGAGGTATGCCCTGCAGCTCCCCTGCAGCTCTGCTTGAGGGCAGTTGCAACTTGCAAAGCCTCTGTCTGATTTGCATAATGCAGCCCTCCCAGAAGCCACCTGATTTGACTTCGGGTTCACTTGAGGGAATTGACAGAAGTGACAGTGAGCCTTGTGGCCAAAAGGGGCAAAGGGGCTATGGGGTGGTCGCAGCCTGGGTTCCTTAGCCACTTCCAACATGTGGGACCTTGTGTAGGTTATTTAACCCAACTGAGTACCAAGGTTTTCAATGGTAACATGGGGATGATGGCAGCTCCTACCTTAGAGCTAGTGTAGAGACTAATAATAAATTAACCCAAGAGCAGCTGGTACTGGGCATGCAGCATCCTTTAAGTGTTGCCTGGCACCATGCAATAGTGCCGCCCTACTGTGCTTCTGTGAGTCCTCACCAGAAAGGGCACTGGTGTCCCATCTGCCACCTGTTCCCTCAGCGATCCAGGACAAAACTTGGAACTATCTGGAGACCGTGTTTCTCTCGCTCCTGGATGCCCCTGGCCAAGCCAAGCCCAGGGACCCTTCCTGCTCTGAGTCCTCTGTGCCAAGCCTGTCCCTAGGTCAGGGTCACTTCTCCCAGCAGGTGTGGTTGGCGTGCTGGTCTTCAGCTCCTGCATGAACAGCACCCTGGTCCTTAGGCTTTGAACCCTGCACACCAGTCGCTGCATGTTGCTTGGTTCGGGTCCATGTGCTTGAGGATTTCAGCTTTGGGTGTATCTATGAGGCATCTCACCCTGTTGATGGGCATTCAGAAAGCACTCCCAAGAGCCGGCTGGGGACCTCAAGTTCATCAGAGAAGCCCTTTCACTCGTTCGCTCAGCCACTGCTTACTGAGCACCTACTATGTGCCAGTCTTTGTCCACTGAGAATGCAGCAGAGAACAGGACAGGTGTGGCAAGGAGGGGGTGTGACACAAGCACTGCGAAGACACCAGTCAATCATTAGAATTGAGAGCGCCCAGAGGTGAGGTTGGGTGATGGGCTGAGAAGTGGCACCCTGGGCATTCGGTGCTCCCTGGGTCAGGGGATCAGGGAAGGAATCCTGGAGGAGGTGGCGTTTAAGCTGCAGCCCAGGGTGAGGGAACAGTGAGAGGTTTCACACTCACTCATGCCTCCCTGGAAGGGCACAGAGTGACACTAGGCTCTTGAAGTTTGATTCCTGGGGTGGGGAGATAAGCTGACAGGATGGGCGGCTCCCTGTGGTGGTGGAGCCCCAGGGTTTTGACGGGCGTGCCCCTTGGCTGGCCGGGCTGGGAGAACTTGGAGGCAGTGATGAGTCCCCTGTGGGCCGCGATCGCGTGCTGGGCTTGGCCTTGGCCTCAGCTGGGAAAGGCCCCCAGAAAAGCACCGAGCGCCCGAGTTCATGTTCTTGTGTCTGCAGCTCACTGCTTGCTAATAAGATATGCAAATTATTGGGGCTGTAAAATCACCACATTCCATCTTCTGTTTAATTAGCATTTAATTGTAATCTCATTTTAATTTTTTCACACTGGCACCCTAATTAAATGTTAGGGTATTTGTCTTAACGATTAAATTATATTGGCAAATAGAGTCTTCAAGAAACTTGACCTTTTCCAAGCCAGGGCCCTCTCTAGCTAGGTGTGGCTGTAAATTAGATTTCTGCAAGATGCTGCCCCGAACCCCCTCGGTGCAGCCATTTCAGTTGTTTTCTTGCTGTTCTGGCGCGAGATTCGAACAAGACAGGCACAGACAGCATGCTGAGCCCCCATCAGGCAGAGGTGACCGTGAACGAGTTAGTCGTGAGCCAGCAGATGCTGGCTTTTCCAGGGAGGGGTGGGTTTGGAGTTTGGTCCGGGTCTAGAGCACTCCTTGAACTGATTTCTTCGGTTTCAGTGATGCCACCTCATCTTTAACTTGTGATTCTCACGGAGGATCACTGGGGACATTGGTACTTAAGCAAGGCATGTGGCTGCCACCAAGTCTCACAGCGGCCGTTCCTGGAAGCCACAGCGGGGTCAGGCAACAGGGCACAAGAGTGGCCTGATGCACTGATGTTGGCACGGGCTGGGCTTGGAGGTTGTTCTGGGGGGACCCTGGGAGGGCAACAGACAGAACATTGAGAAGAGCAGTCTCCTGAGTGACGAGAACAGCACCAAAGCTCGGGGTGCACCTACTCCCTGGCTCAGCTCTGGGGGAACTTGGATGGGCTTGATTGAGAAAGAATTCCACCCCACCTTCCTCCTACCCATCACACACAGAGGGTGGAGTGGTGGGACCCCTGCTGAGCAGGGGACCCGGTGTCCTGGCGCTGGCCCTCGAGAGACCTCAGAGACCATGACCTGTGGGAAGCCTTCCTCCGGGCTGCCCCAAGCCCCACCCACCTCCATGGTTTGTCAAGGTCCTGAAGTTTGTGCACCTGGGGTGGGGGCCCCACACTCTTGACATCACCACTGGGCCTGCAGCACGGTGTTGCACTGCCAAACACATTGTAGGCCTTCGAGGGAAATTGCCTGAACAGTCACGTGGTGGTGGTGCTGCCTTCACAGAGGCCTTCCTGCCGGCTGACTTGTTTCTTTTGTGCCTTTCCCAGCCTTTCCTCTTCCCTCCGAGGTCCACTCCCGTCCATCACTTCGGCCTGTAACAAGTCAGAGCACATGTGAATTCCATTCAGCACATTTACTGAACATCAGCTATGTACAGAAAGCCCTGTGTAGGGTTCAGAGAAGATGCGTTATTGTGCTTACTGGGTTTCGTGGGCATCTGACTTTGAGGGGCGGAAAGCCCACCCCAGTTGTGCCTGCCGTGCCCTCCCCCAGGCTGTGGAGCAGATCCCTGCCCCCGGAGGCGGTCTGAAGCCACCCTCCCTGCCCTTGCTCCCGACAGGTTTTCCGGACGGACTTGATCACAGCCATGAAGATCCCAGATTCACACCAGCTCAGCCCGGATGACTACTACATCCTGGCCGACCCATGGCGACAGGAGTGGGAGAAAGGTGTGCAGGTGCCCGCCGGGGCAGAGGCCATCCCAGAGCCCGTGGTGAGGTGAGCTGGGCAGCCCAGGCCAGGGACCCAGGCCAGGGGGTACGGGGAGTACATAGCAGAGGACCTTCCAGTCCTGGGATTCCTCTCTAGCCTAGCCTTCTTTTGTTAGATGTTTTGGCCCATAAACCATTGAGATGTTCCAGAAATACGGGCAGTTTGCCTTTGAAGCTAAGCCCTTGGGTTCGGGCGCAGCGATGGACCAGGCAGCCTGGATTCCAATGGCTACTCACATTCATTGTGACCTTGGACCAGAAGTGTAATCTCCCTGGGCCTTAGTCGCCTTGTCTGTGAAGTGGGAATGAGGACAACGACACCTCCCTTCTGCAGTGGTCCACGTGACCTAGGGAAATGGTGTGCGAAAGGCACTTGGCACGGGGTCTGGCCTGTGAGTGTTCAGTGAAAACTGGCCATGGATTAGCCTGATGTAGATCCAGACTGGGTCCCACAAGCCCATCTTAATCGGGGAAGTCTTCAGACTTTTAGTGAGTCCTTAAGACAGGGATAAGCCATGCTCTTGACTTCTTAAACCTTTTTAAGGAGTTCTTAGTGGGAGGGAGTGGTGTGCACACAGCAGGTGCTCAGGAAGTGGCTCCTGTGACCAGCCTCCTAGGAGGCCCCCTGCTGGGGCTGGGTTAGGGCTGGGTCAAGGTCAGGTCCCCTCTGGGCTTGTGGGTCAGAGAGAGACCCCTGGTGCTCTCGTCAGGAGGTGGCCTCGTGGCCATGGACCTCGCCTCCAGCAGCAGAGTTCAGCCAAGTGCTTGTCTCTGCTTCCTGGGAAACTGTCCAAGTCACGTCTTGGGGCAGAGGGGACTGCCGCCCTGGCCTCCCCTGCCCACCAGCCCACGAGGGCTGGGCAGCCTGTGTTATTGGCAGCCCACTCCTGTCCTTGGCAGCCTCGTGGCTCTCGCTTAGGCCTATAGGACTAGGCCTGGGGCAGAGATCACAGCCATCATCTCCTGTGACATTGGCACTGTTGCTTCCTGGCAGCCACGCCTGTGACTGGCTTGCAGACACCCAGGGCCCCCGTGGTGCCAGGCCTGGGCTGGGTCTGGGATTACGGAGGCAAAGCAGGCTAATCCATGCTCGGGTTCTCCGTTAGGATTGGGTGCTGGGCAGGGCTCATCCTCCCGTAGCTGCTGAGGCCTGAGCACCTACCAGTGCTGGTTTTAGGCCTTGTGAGAATCAGGGAGTCCCAGATTTCTGGGAGGGAGCACATGTGGGATTTGGAGCAGGAATTTATACTCCACACCCCCCATGCAGGGCCAGACGTGAGAGTCGGGCTCCTAGCCAGCTTCACATCCTCGCCGCTGCAGACTGAGGTGCTGTCTGCCCTCTTGGAGCCTGTTTTCCTTCTAAGAACGGTACCTGCCTGATGGCATGGTGCTGAGGACTGAGTGACAAAACATGGGCCGAGGGAGGGCCCAGAGTGATGGAGGGGAGGGCCTGGCCGCCAGCTGGGCAGAGAGCGGTGAGTCCTGATTAGGCCTGGCCTAGCAGTCCGTCCCCTCTCCTTGATGTCAATGTCAGGTGGTTCCGGAAACATCCGCTAGCCTGGGCAATGGATTGCAGATGCTTCCATACCAGTAGCTTGGCTTCGGACAGCTTTATCTGTTGACATCAGGAGGAGGGCACATGTTCAGACTGCTCTGGCTCTGCTAGGTGTGTTCCCCGCCTGTGTGCGGCTGCTGGGAGCTGGCCGGAGCAGGCAGCAGGCAGCCTGGCCAGCCTGCTCCTGAGAGGAGAGGAGCGGCTGCAGGCAGGCGGGGTGCTCTCGGAGAGAGCCGCATGCCCTCCCCCCTCCCACCCAGCCTCCGTCCTCAGCGCCACTAGGCCCTCCCCTGGAGCCGGAGCCCTGGCCGCTGGAGTTGGAGCTGTGACAGGAACTCACTTCCTGAGAACTCGCTGTGTTGAGCTGTTACGTTCATCTTCTCCTTTAGTGACCCTGTTGGCCCTATAACATGAGCACATATTGCTGTCCTCATTGTATATAGATGAGGAAGTCGGGAAGTTCTGGGGAATTCCCTGCACTACCCGCTGCTGGGGCCTAGTGGGCGGGGCCAGGAAGTCACTGGCCCTGGGAACAGCCCTGGATCCACCCCGGTGAGGCCCAGAGAGAGCCCAGTGCCCTCGTCACCCAGCCTGTTGGCTCTGGCTGCCCTGCCTTGCCGCCCTGGCCCTGGACAGGTGCCCCCACCTCATGGTCTGAAATTTATCTAGGTAATGAGAATTTGTCTCGCCCCGAGATGGTGAGGACCAATTGAGTGAGGACCTGTAGTGCTCCCTCAGTGAGGCCAGAAGACTCAGCCCAGGACTGAGCCAGCCTCTGATGTCTGTCTGTCTTTGGAGTAGAGACCCCTCGCCTCCCCCAGCTCCCACCCCAGCCACCCGCCTCCTCCCAGCGGACCTCAGTACAGCTGGCTGCACTAAGACTGCGGCCTTGGCCTAAGGTCAGGTTGGTCCCTGACTGGTGTGAGAGCTTCCTCCGCAGCCAGAGCCAGAGAGGCCAAATGTATGAAGGTGAGAGGCCCTGGAAGCCCAGGAAGTAAGAGCCTTTTCTGGTGTGAGCCCTTAACTCCAACCTCCCAGAGAAAGGAATGTGGTATCAGCCCCGAGAGCTCTGGCCGAGTGGCAGCTGCCTGAGCATGCAGGCCAGGGTAGCTAGGCCAGTGGGTGGGGGGCACTCGGACGAGGTCATCCAAACCCCGACTAAGTATGTGCTGGGGGCACAGGCAGAGCAGGGTCATGACAAAAATCAGTCTGTGTCTTTAAAAGAATGTATTCAAATAAGAGCCTCGTGAGGAAAGGCCGGATTTTGTAGAAGTGTGTTGGCGTTGCTTCTCTTTGAAATGACCTGAGGGAATGTGAGGAGCCCATTATCACTGGCATTACCTAAGGTCTTTCTTAACCTGGGCATCTGGGTGGGGGGGCCCTAAGTCCTTTCCCTTTCTCCTTGCTCCCCACCCCCGACAACTGCCTCTGGGCCTCCCTCCCTGCGTGGAGGCCATTCTGTCTCCTTCATCCTTCCTGCCTCTCTTGCTGACGCCCGCCCTGGGCATTTCCTGGAGTACAGGGCTCCGCCCTCCTCTCCCCAGGCTGCGGCTGAGTCACAGCCCCTGGCAGCCCTGCCTCCGACCCCAGGAGGGCTCTGGGGCCAGTGAGGGGCCTCTCAGCCCCAGCAGGGCTGGCCAGATGGAGGCCAGGCTCCGCAGCAATAACCATGGCAACCGGTGGGGGGGTGGGGAGCTGGCATTTTGAACTGGTATCGGGAACCGAGGGGCAGCACACCTCTGCACCGAGAGGGGAAACTGCCCTGCTGAGGTCACGGGCTCTCGTATTTCGTGTCAGAGGGAGCAAAGTGACACCCAGAGGTCTCAGTACACACTCACACATACAGGGTGTGTCCTGTGCCAGGCACGGTCCTGAGAGTTTGCATTTCCTCCTCATGCCAGCCGTAGAAGGCGAACGCTGGGGCACGGAGAAGTTCGGTGGCCTGCCCAGAGGCGCGCAGTCGGTGGTGGAGCCGGGCTCTGAGGCCTCATCCCACAGCCTGGCCCTTCCAGCTGCCTCGGAGGCAGAGCCGTGGCCTGAGGGAGGGTGTTCCTGGCCTGCAGTCCTGGGGCTACAGTGGGTGCATCTTCGTTTCCAGGGGAGGCGGTTTCCATCTTGGGGCGGGGGAGTACAGCAGACCAACTCCCTGCTCGGGTAGCATTCTTTCTGGGGAAGGAACAAGGTGTGTGGACAACTCTGGTCTCTGTGACAGTAGACTTTTATGTGGAAAGGGCCACCCTGGGCTGCAGTGGTGTAGCTGGGGAAGACTCCTCACCCCAGAGGAGACCTGGCTTCGGTTCTTCTTGGGCTGTTGGTAAGGAGGGGCCAAGGCCTGCGAGAGCATGGGGGTCAATCCCCGGTCTTGAGGGGGGTGCTGAAGGACCTGGAGCCCACCTGGCTCTGTGCCACTTGTCCAGAGTGGCTGGCATTGGAAACTGCCTAGAGCAGAACCTGGAACGCCCCCTGCAGGCTGAGCAGATCCAGGTCCCGAGGCTTTAGCCAAGGCCCAGTGCCCTGATTGTTGGGGGCTGGGGGGAAGGTAAGGTGTGCTCTGAGCAGAATGGCTGTTTATGGATGGATGTGCAGGGGCGGTGGGTCAGTCCCACTCCTATCCGTCTCGCTGCCCCACAGCCCTTTGCTCTCCTGTCCTGCTTGTTCATAGTCATGTGAGACTGCAGGGTGGGCAGGTGGGGGGAGGGGAGTGTAAGAAGGCAGTGGAAGGGGGTGGGCCCTGCATGGGTCAGAGTCTCACACCTCACTTGCCCACCAAGTCCTCAGCTGGGCCGGCCAACTCCCTGGTTGCCCCCAGACCTGGCAAGGGTAGCAGCTTAGGGTCCCTCCACTCATGACGTCCCCTCTTGATTTCCTAGGATCCTCCCGCCGCTGGAAGGCCCCCCGACCCAGGTGTCCCCCAGCAGCTCCGAACTTGGCGAGGGCTCCCAGCCTGATTGGCCAGGGGGCAGCCGCTATGACCTGGACGAGATTGACGCCTACTGGCTGGAGCTCATCAACTTGGAGCTCAAGGAGATGGGTAGGTGACCTGCAGGCTGAGAATGAGGTCGGGGCAGGCCCAGCAGGGTGTCCTTCAGAACTTTAGCATCCTCACAGTCAGGACGGCAGCCACGACCGGGCTTTGGCACCAGGTGGCCCCGGGGTGGCAGTCTCTACAGCACTGCTGTGCCTCCGTTTCTGCGGCTGTCGGGCAAGGGCAGCAGCAGCACGTGACTGACTGTCTTTGTGGGTAGGCGAGTGAGCGAGTGAGCGGGACTGTCCCATGAGGAGTGAGGCTGCACACAGGCGGGTGGAGGATGACACATGCGGCTGGCGTCGGAGGGTATGGGCCTCCGGGCCCGAGTGCACTGACCTGTCTCGGGGAGGGCCGGCTCTGTCGTACTCAGCCCCCGTAAAAGTCCCCCCCGTGGCATTCCCCACGGAGCCTGCCGCATCCCAGAGCTATGTCCCCATTATTGGCACGGACACCTAATGTGTGCGGAGCCACAGGCAGACCGTTCAACAGCAGAGCACGGTGACGGGCTGGCCCTTGGGGGTCGGACAGCCCGGCACCCTCAGTTTTCAGACGGTGGAGCTGAGGCCTGTGACAGTCGGCCTGGGTTCCCAGATCACCGCAGATGAGCAGAAACCCTGTCACCCATCTGCCCCGAATGCCGGGCTTCTCATGTGCCTCCCCGTTGTCCTCACAGACAGGCCAGAGCTGGACGAGCTGACGCTGGAGCGTGTGCTGGAGGAGATGGAGACGCTGTGCCATCAGAACATGGCACGGGCCATTGAGACGCAGGAGGGGCTGGGCATTGAGTATGACGAGGACGTCGTCTGTGACGTGTGCCGCTCCCCCGAGGGCGAAGACGGCAACGAGATGGTGTTCTGTGACAAGTGCAACGTCTGTGTGCACCAGGTGGCCAGCCCCCCAAGTGCCCTCTTCCACCCGGTGCCCTCACACGCGGCCCCTGCCTGGGAGGGGCTCCCCACTGCAGGACTGCAGCAGCCCTGCAGGCACCGGCCCCCGAGGAGGAGGGCAGGGTGGGAGGGAGGTACCGGCCTTAGTGCCCCTCGGTGCCAGGGACCCACGGGGCCCCTGAACTCGGCACCGTCAGCCAGACCTGGGTAAACACTGACTGGGTGGTCCTTCTGTGCTCACCTGTCACCTCCCCACGGAACACCCGGCCCCCGCCTTCTTCCTCTGCTCCTCACTGTCCTGAACGTACAAAGAGGCAGCACTGTGTCACGACTGAGAGCAAAGCCTGGAGCCGGGCTACCTGGTTTCAAACTGTGGCTCTGCCCTTTGTGAGCTCTGTGGCTTTGGGCCAGTTTCTTAACCTCTGTGGACCTCTTTCCTCAGCTGCACAGGAAAGTGAGTTGCAAGTCCAAGTTATTTGCTTTGAACAATATCATAAGAGCCCTGAGTATTAGTTACCATTGTTGATAGTATAAACGTGACCCGAGCGGCCGCCCTGCACCTCGATCTTCCACCCAGGACTCTAGGTCTCAGGCATCCCTGGGCCTCATTTGCAGAAGACTTGAATGGATGCAGTGCACCCACTCTGGCCCTGACTTCGATGCCCCCCACACACACTGCTGCTGTTGGAATGTCTCTTGGGGAGCTCCAAGGGCTCGCCCGGCTGGGTGTTTAGGCAGCACCCCCATATTCATCCTTATACCCAGTGGCTCTTAGGCATGTCTGGGGGGGCCCCCTTCACCGGTGCCTATGAGGAAAGGTGAAAGGTTGCTCCTTGCCGTCAGACAGTAGACACACCAAAAACTACTCAGCTGGAGGCATTTCCGAGGCCCCTGCCAATCAGGACCCTCTGGCTAGAGTGTCCTCCCAGCAGAGGGCAGACCTGAGCCCTTTCACAGAAGTCTGTGACTCAGGCTTGGAGGAGCCCTGTGTTCCGCCCCTCTGGAGGTTGCCTGGCAGCTCCCGGCCCGGTAGGGCCGGCAGCACCCCCTGCTGGCCACAGACCAGATGCCCACAGAGCGACACTTCTGACCGTGGCCGCCCTGCTCTCCTCCCAGGCCTGCTATGGGATCCTCAAGGTGCCCACAGGCAGCTGGCTGTGCCGAACGTGTGCCCTGGGTGTCCAGCCAAAGTGCCTGCTCTGCCCCAAGCGAGGAGGAGCCTTGAAGCCCACCAGAAGTGGGACCAAGTGGGTGCACGTCAGCTGCGCCCTGTGGATTCCTGAGGTGGGCAGGCGTGGGGGTGGGAGGTCCTGGGGATCAGCCATGGGGAAGTGGGTGTGCGTGGGACTTAGTGCTGGGGGAGTAGAGCACTGGGGGGGGGGGCACAGGAGATGGGACCACAGGTGTCAGGCCTGGAAAACACTGGGGGAGCAGCCCCCGGGGAACCTCACTGTGAAGTTGGACAGAACTCAGGTGGCAGCCTCTAAGGGGAAATGGGATTTGGGGCTCCCAGGGGGCCCAGTGGCAGGTCTGAGAGCCAGATGAACATCCCTCGGCTGACTCTGGGAAAAGCAGGTTGTGGGTTCACCCCTCTCTAGGCAGTGGCTCCAGCCAAAGTCAGGGCGCCCTTTTAAAATAAAAGTCAGAAAGCTGACCTGAAAGGAAATTGGGTGGCAAGCCTAGTTAAGAGTCGTATGGCGGGTCTGCTGCCAGGGCTGGGGCTAGGTGGGGAGGGCCCATGTAGGCTGGGCCCACAGTGAGGTAGCAGAGGCCCTGGGCTCCCAGAAGGCATCCGTTTCATTTGAAATGGGAAATGCTGGAATCAATGAAGTGTCAGCCCAGCCCCGCTGTGTACCAGGACCCAGAATGTAGCCTCACTCCAGTGCTGCCTGTGGCCGGAAGCAAGCCAGGTGGGCCTGTCAGCAGGTAGCCCTGGGCTCCTGGCCTGACGGTCCTTGCTGGGACCCACGTTGCAGGTTTCTGTGATGATAGAGGTTGTCTTGGCAGTTGTCTCTTGCTCCAGATCTGTATCTGGAAGGTCAGGACTCCCTCTGACTCTACCCCGAGCTGGGCACAGCAGGAACAGAGAGAATCAACAAGGACCCCACTGCAGGGACCCTTCCATCCTGAGGCACGCGCTGTGGAGAGGCGTAGGCCGTGCCCAGGAGATGTGGACGTAGGCTTCTGGGACAGGAGGGCTAAACAAAGGCTTGTCCCCATTGGCCAGCAAAGCCTCTGGTGGCCTCCAAGAAGAGATGCTACCCTGAGGCAATTATTTTGATGCCCAGAAAAATAAATAAAATAAATACAAGTTACAAAAAGAATTCTAAAGATGCTATTGACAAAAGCCTCGGGTACAGAAGAGAGGGGACCTCGCATGTACTCACCTGGACACACATACACTCGGAAACGTCTATCTCGAGGCCACACAGCCATAGGCACACACTCAGTTACACCTGATATGTACTGTCCCACACAGTCACAGACAGTGGCAGGCTTGTCACAGGTGAGCCCGCACTCAGCCAGCAGTCAGCTTAGGACAGACAAGAAGGACTCGGATTCAGGGGCTCTCCCACTGCCCTGTTTGCCCCCTCCCTCGCCTGGTTTCAGCAGCTGGCTTCCCATTTGGGGACTTGGGGATTTGGAGAAGAGTCCTGATGCAGCCCCCTGTGTCCCGCCCAGGTGAGCATCGGCTGCCCCGAGAAGATGGAGCCCATCACCAAGATCTCGCACATCCCCGCCAGCCGCTGGGCCCTGTCCTGCAGCCTGTGCAAGGAGTGCACGGGCACCTGCATCCAGGTGCGTGGCTGCCTCACCCCGCAGCTGCCCGGGAGCCCAGATGGGAGCCAGGCACTGCCTCTGTATGCACCCCACCCGCAGCCCATCCCCATGGTGCTTTGGACGAATCCACCGGTGGGACCCAAACACCTGGGACTGGAGTCAGAATGCCACTTTGGGGGCATTCTTCCATCCCAGTTCCTCTAGGCATAGGGTACAGGCCCAGGGAACCAAGACTCTCCACCCCGCATAGGGCAGGGCTGCCCCGGCCACAGCAGTGGCTCCCACATTCTAGTGTGATCGTTGTTACCCAAGGGCCTCATTCAGCATCTCTGGAGTGGAGCCGAGAATTTGCATTTCTAGCAAGTTCCCAGGTGATACTGCTGCTCCTGGTCCAGAGGCGGGAGGAGGGGGTACCCTTTCTCTCCCCCGGCTCTCCGGGAGTAATTGTCATTGCAAACACCAGCTCTGCCTCCACCCGTTTGTAAGGCTGGCACAATGGCTCATGAGTGCAGAGCACAGCAAAAACAGTCACTACTAGTTGGGTGGGTTGTTGCTGACTCAGTTATCAGCTGCCCACAGCCACCATCCGAGGCTGGGAGGGAGTGGCGGGCCCCAAGTTGACCCTGGCTGCCCAGGCAAGGGGAGAAGGAAGAGGTCTGAGTCCAGCACCCCTTCCCAGAGGACACAGGAGGGGGGCAGCTCCCCATCTGAGATAATGTTGAGGGGCAGGGGTGACAGTGACCTATCACCAGCCTCTTCCAGTGCCTCATTCCAAAGTCATTTTGCCCACACAGAAATGCAGCTTGTCCCCCAGAGTACTAGGTGCTGAGCCCTATTTCCTTTCCAGCACCCTCTTCCTACCTGCTCTGGCTCACCCTGTACCCTGCAGGATGTCAGGAGCCCATGCCATTGTATTTGGGGGCCCTGGGGGATGCTCACCTCCTTACCTCCCATCAGGACTCCCTTCGTGCCTGACACTGCCCTTCCTGTCTCCTCAGTGTTCTATGCCTTCCTGCATTACGGCATTCCACGTCACATGCGCCTTTGACCACAGCCTAGAAATGCGGACTATATTAGCAGACAATGATGAGGTCAAGTTCAAGTCATTCTGCCAGGAGCACAGTGATGGGGGCCCAAGGGTCGAGCCCGCATCCGAGCCAGTGGAGCCCAGCCCAGCTGCTGAGGACTTGGAGAAGGTGACCCTCCGCAAGCAGCGGCTGCAACAGCTGGAAGAAGACTTCTACGAGCTGGTGGAGCCAGCCGAGGTGGCCGAGCGCCTGGACCTGGCCGAGGCCCTGGTCGACTTCATCTATCAGTACTGGAAGCTGAAGAGGAAAGCCAACGCCAACCAACCGCTGCTGACTCCCAAGACCGATGAGGTGGACAACCTAGCGCAGCAGGAGCAGGACGTCCTCTACCGTCGCCTGAAGCTCTTCACGCACCTGCGGCAGGACTTGGAGAGGGTGAGTACTCCCGTCACACCCCCCCCCCTCCACCGGCAGCTGTCCCAGGAGGCTTTCTGCGCCGCCCTTACTGCCTGGAGCCCCTGTGACTCACCGGGACTCATGTGAGCTCTGGCCCAGGGGCCAAGGGCCTCCAGGTCTCAGACAGGGTGGAGGTGACTGATACTTCGCAGAGCAGGGAAGAATCCAGCTCTCGGGTCCGAGACCCAGCCCTTTCCAAGGCCAGGTGAAGGATGGGGCCCCTGCTGGTGTCGTGAGGCCCGGGAATAGCAGAGCTGGGGTCAGGGCCCAGGCTTCCAGCCCCACTGGGGGCCTCTGGGAGCCCTACCTGGTCCCCGCACACAAGCTGCTGCTTCAAGTCAGAGGTAGGGAGGGATCTGGGAATGACCAGTGAGCTGACTCAGCGCGACACGCATGTGCTGGGCCTGGGCAGGGAAGACAGGTGTGAATTGGCCTCCCCGGGGTGCTGGTCAGAGGCAGTGAGCAGAGGGGCCAGAGTGGCTGGAGTGGCAGCAGCGTGTGTACAGAATAAGTACGGAGCCGGGAGGGTGGACCAAAGCAGCCCAGAAACGGCCATGACTGCCACTTCCTGGGACTGCCCTGCTGTGACTGCCACTTCCAAACACAACCTGGAGAAGGAGTCACAGGGCCTGGATGGCAAGGGCAGCCGGCTGGCCAGAACCCCCAGTTGTAACCTGAGAGACGGGGGTGGTTGGCTTGGTCCAGGGCGGCAACTTTGGGGCTGAGCGAGATGAGGAAGGGGGAGCTGTGGGGGCTGGGGAGCAGGAAGAGTTGCTTTCCTGGAGCAGGGAGGCCTCCAAAACTTCTCTCTCCTGCTCCCCCAGAGAGGTGAGGGGGTCCTGCCTTCTGTGGGCTGTGCTCTTAAACTTGGCTTTTTGGGCACCCTCCCCCTGCCACCTCGGGTCGATAAAGTACCACCCTCAAGTGGAGGGCAGCCAAAGGAGGAGACAGGATGTTCTGGGTCCCTGGTTCAGTCCTCTGAACCCCAGGTGCTGGGTGGGCCTCTCTTCTGTAGGACACTCAGCTTTCGGGTGCCAGGGCCCATGGGGTCTGTCGGTGTTCTCCACAGGTGCAGACACACCTGCCCCAGCCCCCAGGCTGTGTTAGGAAACAGCCCAGGATGGAAGCATCCTGCGGGGGCGGGGGGGGGGGCGGTTTACGCCGCCGCATTCTGTGCGGTTCGGCTGACAGGTCTGCAGAGTGAGCAGAATGACTCGGCCAGCGCTGGGCTGCGGGCGATGCTCTGAGACCACTCGACTTCCCACACCCCACTCCTCTGCCCTTCCGCCCGGTCAAGGGGAGACGACCCTGTTGGTCTGCTACTGGGGAGGAGTACGCAGGGGGTGGCACTCCATGACCCTGGCTCCAGCAAGGGCCAAGGACCAGGCCACCTACCTTGCAGTCATGACTTCCTGGGCAGCCCAGCCTCCTGTTTCTCGTGGCAGGACCCTCAGGTACAAACCCTTCAGAGCGACGGCCAGAGTTGTCCTCAGCCCACCCCCAGGTCTCCGGTGCAAGTGCCCTGCCTTTACTCCCACGGTTTCCGTCAGGTCCGCCCCCCAGTTTCTGCCCAGGCCATGTGGGGAGGCACGTGGGGTGGGGGTGCTGATTTAATCATCACCGTGTAAGAAGAGGTGAGAGATGGATACTCACAGCCTCCATGAGCAGGGGAGGAACCTGGTGCTCAGGGAGGCGAAGTGACAGGAAGCCATGTGTGTTCTAAGTTGGGTTTAGATTGAATGGGGGGAGGCTCTGTCAGAAAGAGGGTTGTTGCCTTATTCTCTATTCAGCCCATATCCTGGGCAAAGCATCTTCCTCTCAGTCCCTGAACCTCTCATCCCCTTGCTAGCTGGTACAGGTGTGCCCAAGGTCAAGACTGCTAAGGGCTAGGATGCCAGTGAGCCTGCTGAGGCCGGCTCTTGGGGCAACCAGAGCTGCTGCCGAGACCCCTCTGGTCGGGGGACAGAGTCCTTCAGAGCCGAGTGTGAGCCAGCCCACTCTTCCTCTGGGAAGAATGGGCAGGGCCGGCTCTAAGTCTGTGCGGCTTCTCAGGGCTCAGGAGGCCCCATCACAGGGCTGCACCTCTGGCCACACTGAGCTGGGCTGGCAGCACCAGCTGGGAGTGCAGGGACAGTGGGCACAGCCACATGCCCGTCGGCCCCTCTAGGCCCAGGCTCAGGGCCTGTCACAGCTTCATGCTGGCGACTTGAGTAAACGAACAGAGCCCAGAAGTGTGCCCCTGCCGGTGACCTGGACACCAGGCCCTGACTGTGGCCCAGGGCCGACGGCCGGGAGTATCCAGCCTATCACTGGGCACCAGTCCAGCCCTTCCCAGCTCTGTGCCTTCTGAGTTTCGGTTTCTGTTTCTCTGGGTTTCACTTTCCTTGTCTGTAGAATGGGAACGAGGATCAGACTAACTTCAGGGTTTCAGTGAGGATGGGGACAGAGCTTAGCACAGCGCCCTCTGCTGTTAGAGGTGGTTGTCGCCACTCCCCTGGCTGGTAGCCAGTGGCCCGCTGGGGAGGGTGAGGTCCTGGGGGAATTGAAAGGCAGGCCCAGTGCCTGGGACTACAGGGCATCCTGCGGATGGACTTGCCCCCAGGCCAGGCGGGAGTTTTGCTGAGAGACCTGGAGCTGGGGCTGAGCTGCCTCCGCGAGGAATCCCCGTCCGCCAAGGTGCGCCTTTCTAGCCTGTGGCTATAGGGCCTCCACCCGGTCCACAGCGTAGGAAGGCGTGGCCACTGTGCTCCCCAGTTATTCACAGCTGTCAGAAAAATTGCAGTGCTGACCTGCTGCCCAGGGAGCGTGCTGGTGGCCCCTAGCAACCTGTCGCAACCGGCCCAAAGGCAGTTCAGGCTGCGTGGGGCCTCCTGCCTGTGGCCCTGGATCTGGTTACCAGAGGTTAACCCGGCCTGGGCTCAGCGGACGACAGGGCAGGGGCAGCCCTTGGCTCGCACCGGCTAACACCGTGGCGGAGGAGAGCGCTGTAGGGACTGCTCAGGCCTTGCTTCCCTTAGCTCTCCAAAGAGGGAGACCCTGCAGCCCCCAACCTGCTGGTTGTCCCCCCACCCCACCAACTGGTATATGCCTCCTCCTCAGTCAGTCACGCCCCGTTCGCTGTGTCCACGGTGCCTGGACTGTGTCGCACTTGGCCTCCCACCGAAGGGGCCTTGCCCTGGGCAGCCTTGGCCCTGGGCAGCCTTGGCTCCCGGCGCTCTGGCTCTTCACTCCTTGCCTCTCCCATCCCTGGGACTTTCCTAACCCAGCAGGGCCCCGCCATTCAAACCCTGCCGCCTCGCTCCAATCTCCACATGTCCTGATCCCCAAATCCTTAGCCACAGCCTCTTGGTCTCCCTACTTGGTTGCCCCCCAGACTCTGCCCTGCATGTCCCTCATTTTCTACATTGGCATTAGCTCGCCCCGGGCCTTTGCCCCATTTGGAGGCCACGCCCCTGGCAGAGCCTCCCCTAGGGGCCAGTCTCTGCCCACCAGGAGCCGTCCCACAGCAGTGAGGAGGGGGGCCCCCCAAGGTGCCTGCCCCCAGCCTCGGCAGGACCCAAGCCAGCGAGGTTCTGGGCTCCCCAACCCACCACCTCTCTTCATGCTTCCCCAACCTCACCCAGGGCCCCCCCTCTCAGCTCCCGTCCTGTGCCTCAGACTAGAACCTTCCAACTCCGTGCCAGGAGCTCCCTCTGCCCACTCCCTGGCTTTGCTGGCCCCTCCATCCCCACTCCCTGAGGGTCCCTCTCCAGCCCCCCCACCCCCCCACAGCACAGGAGTCTGTCTTCCTCTGTTCTTGGTCTCCACACTTCTGGCAGCATTCGAATCTGTTTTCCCCTCTGCTCTCTTTGGGGAGCAGCCCCTCCCTCCCCGTCTCCCTCTACTTGTGGGTTTCTGCATTCCCCACCCCTACTGTCCTTCCCTGTCATCCCACACTGCCCTCACTTCCTCGCCTCCCACTCTGGCCAAGCTCCTGCCACCACCACATTCCAGAACTTTCCAGCAGGGCTGACAGCCTCCGTCTCCCTGGGCCCAGCAGCCACTTCCCCGTGCCCGTCTGCCAGCCCTCTTGGCAGTGGTCGTTGCCGTGCCTTGTTCCTGAGTGACGTTTCCTGTCGGCGCTCTGACCAGATCCCCCCCGCACCCCAGCTCGAGCTCCCTCTCAGAGTCAGTGCGCACAGGCCGCGCTCGGCCAGCCTTTCCGGGCGGCACTGACCAAAGAAGGCTGGGCTGGCTGGGGTTCTCTTGTCTTCCGCAGCAGCAACCTCCAGGCATCCTCGGTGGTGTAGGGTGCCCTTCTCGGGAGAAAAAAACAGAGCGGTTATCTGTAGCATGTGGAACTTGTAATATCTATAATCACTGCTTATTATAAAACAAACATATTCAGAATTTTCAGTAGGATCAAAGAACATACCAATAGCAGTTCTGGTATTCCCCCACTGGGTTGCGGTGAGCCATCTAACTCAGGAGCCTGGGCAGCTGACTGGCGGCCCCAGCCGGGGGCAGGAGCTCTGATTCCACAGTCGCAGGTGAAGTGTGTGTATTGAGAGAGTTGGATAGGCCCCCAGGCCTGGGAATCTGTGTTTTTAATCAGCCGCCCATGGGGCCCGGACCCCAGCAAGCCCCCTGGGCGTGCTCACGGACCCTTCCCTGCAGTTTCCCACGGAAGCTAAAACCCAGAAACTGCCTCATGCGGGTTTTAGGAAGTCATTAAGTGTGATTCTTGGTTCTTTTGGGGAGAAATTTGCCACTCTGGCCTCACCTCATTTGGCTTCTCACAGTTAGAGGTTAAGTTAAGTTTAAGATGAGAAACTCCACGATGGCATGTTCTAGGAAGGTTTTAAAAGCCGGAACCTATCGCTTGTTGGCCTTTTGGCTCAGATCAAGTGCAGTTTCTGTTCTTACCAGTCTAACACCTGTTAGGTCCTCTATCCCAGGACAATATGTTTAAAGGTTTTTTTTAAAAAGATTTTATTAATTTATCTTAGAGGGGAAGGGAAGGAGAGAGGGAGAGAAATATCAATGTATGGTTGCCTCTTGTGTGTCCCCTGCTGGGAACTGGCCCGCAACCCAGACATATGCCCTGACTGGGAATCGAACCGTGGTTGTTTGGTTCCTAGGCCAGTGCTCAATCCACTGAACTACACCAGCCAGGGCTGTTAAAAGGGTTTTTAGAATGAGGAGATGGAATAGGAGCTTGCTCCGTCCACTCCCCGCATGAGCTGGTATTGCTGTACTCCCAGGAACAGCGCACGAGAAAATAAACAAATAAAAGCTGGGCCTTGACTGACCTGTTTTTCAGTCAGACATCTTGGCTGGTTTGTTTCAAGAGCCTCCAAAGCGGCCATGAACCCCCCCACACACACTCGTCTTCATCCCCACAGACCCCTCGCACACCAGGCCCTGTGGCTGCCTAGAGGCACACGGACTGGGGCACGGGGAGGGTGACACAGGGCGGCTGCTGCGGGAGACAGTGACGGCCTCGGGGGTGACGCTCCAGCAGGGACCCGAGGGACTAGGGCCAGCCCTGGGAAGGGGGGAGTGAAGAGCATCTCGGCCCAGGAGGCGGATACATTCCGAGGCTCCCAGGCAGAAGCGGGCTGGGCGCAGAGGGAAGGCGACGGGGGCCGTGCCGTCCCGGAGGACTGCTGGGACAGGGGCTGGGCGGTGACAGTGGGCCAGATTGATGGAACAAGGCTTCGGGCTGTGGCTGTGTTTTGTGTCTTGGTTTTGCACTCGCCATCTTCGTTTCCTGGGGCTGCTGTAACCAAGTGCTGCAAACGCCATGGCTTTGAACACCGGGCTGGCTTCCTCACGGTTCTGGAGGCTGGAGTCACCCGGGCTGATTCCTTCCGGGGGGTGAGGGAGGGTCCATCCGCCTCTCCCAGCTTCACCCGGGCAGCCCTTGACCAGTGGGCCCGTGACTCCGTATCTGCCTGTCCACGGCCACGTGGCATTCTTCCTGTATGTCCTCACAGGGTTGTTCTTAAGGACACACGTCGGTGGATTTGGGGTTCACTCACACCCAGTATGACCCCATCTTAACTGATCACTTCTAAGGCTTCAGACGGACATACACACAGGCAGGGCCACTCTTCAGCCTCGTGCAGAGGACGTGGGAGGATTTACATGTGCAGGAGATTTACAGTTGCAGGTCAGGAAGATTGCCCTGGGGTAGCAGATGCATCTGTCTAAATGGCTGCATGGGGGTGCTGAGAGGTGCGGGGCCGATGGCTAGGAGTCATGTTCCCGGGAAGGACTGGTGGCGGTGCTGGGGGGATAGGCCGTGGGGGCAGAGGAGCCACGTCATGAGGGGTGACTCGGGGGGCTCAGCACTCAGACATCCATCAGGAGTCTGCAGTGTGGGCCTGGCTGAGCCTGACGCTGTGGCCACAAGGCCACACAGGGCCTCGCCCCTGCCTGGCCTGCTCAGCTCTCTGTGATCACCTGCCTCTCAGCCTGGCGGCCCCCTTCTTCAGGAAGCCTTCTTCATCCCCCAGGTCCTGCCAGGACGTGGTCAGCATCTCTCTACCCAGCTGGGCAGTAAGTCCTGAGGGGAAAGGGCCCCTCACAGGAGTTTGCAGAGCCACCAGTGCACCAGAGCAGAGCTGCCAGGCCAGGCCAGGGTTGCCCCCTGGGGGAGGTGCTGGCCCCTCGGGTGGCCTGCTGGTCACATGCCAGCATGAGCCCTGCTGAGAGTCTGTCCTGCAAGGCCAGGCCCGGAGCAGGCGTTCCGGGCTCTCCTTCACAACCAGGCCCAGGAAGGAGATGAGGATGCGCCTTCTCAGAGTTCTGATCATAGTCCCCACTCTCCCGTCCCCCTGGGCCAGGAGGAACGGGGCTCTGACAACAGGCCGGGGCTCTAAAGCCTGGAGGCCACTCCCAGGCTGCTCGGGGACATGAAGCCTGAACTCACCCTTGAAGATGGAACCCACCTGGAAACAGGGAACTAGTTTCGGCTGGAAGGACCCAGGTGGGACCCAGGGGTCCAGTCCAGCAGCTCCTGTCCAGCTGTCCCTGCTGCCGGAGATTCCGACCTAGACCAGAGAGGACACCAGAACCAGGAAGTGTTTCCAGGGAGGGGGTCTTGGCCCAGGGGGCGGCTGGTGGGAGTGGGCGTGCTGGGCGAAGTTGTCACGAGCACAGGTGCTCCCAGGCCAGCTGCAGGGCATGTCCCTCTCCTGGCTCTCCGGCGCTTCCTAGCTGGCATCAGATTCAGAGCCCTGCCCTTTCCTGTGAGGGGTTCTATCTCTGGCTGTGCAAACGTGGCCGCCGGGGCCTGGGGGCCCTGGGGGCGCAGGTGTGGGCTGGCTTGGGTCCCAGAGCAGGAGGTAGCGCCAGGTGGCTTGAGGACTGCCTGTCTGCTTGAAGCCATTGTGCTGGAGGTCTCTGTCTTCCAGGTGCATGGCCTTTTGTGCATCGGGACAGGAGGTGCTTTTCCCCCTGTGGCTGTAGAATTTCCTTGATGGAGGGATGCCTTGGACTGAGGGCAGAGGGATAGACTCGGTGGCCTCACGAGGTCCCTAGGGGAGAGCAGCCGTGTTAGGAGGGCCTCGGGCAGCAGCAGGGCAGGGCTGACCCGGCCAGGAAGGTGGGGCCCCCAGCCTGAGCTCACCTGGCGTGCTCTGCTCACTCTGGCTCAGCCAGGGCCCAGGGCCAGGCCGGGCTGGGCTTGGCCCCGAGGTTTGGATCAGAGAAGCATGGCTTAGGGCTGAGGACACACTCTGGGGCTGGGAACGGATTCCTGGATGCACCAGGCAGGTTAGGCAGGGGTGGTCAGCCTTCAGTAAGGCAGGCAATCTCTCTTGTGTCTCCCCAGGTTAGAAATCTGTGCTACATGGTGACGAGGCGCGAGAGAACGAAACACACCATCTGCAAACTCCAGGAGCAGATATTCCACCTGCAGATGAAACTCATTGAACAGGATCTGTGTCGAGGTAGGCGCCCTCCCCACCGGACGCCGCCACCTCAGAGTGCACACTCTTGAGGGGCTGGCTGCCAAGGAGGGTGTGTCTGTGGGGCCTGTTTGGGGGTACTGGCCCCCACCCCTACCCTCCATTATTCAGTTACTTAGCCAAGATGGGGACCTCCCCAGGGTCCCAGGGATGTGCTGTTAGGCAAGAAGCCAGAGGTTGGATTGTGGGCATCAGACCTGCCCTCATAGAACCTTCTGGTGCAGTGGGGACACCCAGGTAGTGCCAGGGACATGGTGGTTCTGGGGTAAGTTGCATGTGGACAGACGCAGACTTGATGTCCTCGTGGCTCAGTGTTGGTGCTGGGACAGGAAGGGCCAGAACAGCGAGTGTCCCTGCCCCGTGAGCCTGCGTGTTGATCCCAAGGAAGGCAGCCGCCGCCATGGTGAGGGGAGAGGTCCCACGCACTTTCTCTTGGACCACATATGGGATTTGGGCCTTGCACCGGCATTTTTTTCCTGTGTTTTCTTTTTATTCTCTTGCATCATGTGCCTTTAACAGTCCTAGAAATCCAAGGCCAAAGAAGCTCCGATACTGTTTTTATCTGGTGGTTGTGTGTGTTGCCAGACGCAGGGATCCTTCCTGGAGCGTTCGCATGTTAAGGGGGCAGTGCATGGCCCCAGCAGCGGTGCTCTCATGTTGAATTGCATTCAGCAGGAAGAGCTGGATGGAGAGAGATTTGAGCCAGGGGCTGCCCCTGACCTCTCAGCCTCTGGGCCAGGCTGGGCCTGGAGTGGACAAAGAGGGCTGCCAGGCCTCCACCAGAGCAGATGGCAGTCCCAGGTCCTGCCCACCCCTGCCTGAGACCCAGGCTGCTTGGTCTGCACCTCGGGATCACCACCCACTTGGGCCCACAGCCCCAGGGATGCCGAGTGCCGGCGACGACGGGCAGCGTGGGTCCCGGCAGAGCTCAGAGTCCTGCACGCACCCCCAGGCCTCAGGCAAGCGGCTTCCCAGCTTCGGGAGCTTCCCCAGGCTCCCCTCACCTGTCCGTGCGCGGTGAGCACTGACCGAGCGTGGTCAGGAGGCCAGGAGGGAGGCCAGGCCTGTGCTGGGCACTGCGGGGCGCACTGCCGTCGCCTGAACTTCTGAGGGCCCTTGCCGTGGAGGGGCTCGCCATCTGGGAAGACAACGGGCCGTGGTGCCGGTGTGGGGCCGAGGTGTGCAGGTGGCATCAGGCAGCGGGGATTCTGTGCCGATGTCTGCGGCTCACAATTGAGGTGGCAGAGGGCAGTGTGTACAGTGCCCTGCCGTAGGGGACTCCAGAACCACGTTTAGGAGCCTGGGCAGCCCACAGCCCCACATCAGGTCCGGGGACGCTGGCAGCTCCTAGGCCCGAGTGGCTGTAGCAGGCAGGACACTTGAACAGAAGACTGGTTCGCCTCTGCCAGAAGCTGAGGGCTCCCTCAGCTTTTTGTGCTTGACCCCTGGGGTGGGACATGGGCGACAGAAATATGGCCAAGGCTCATCTGGCCAGAGGGCTGGAGAGGGCTTCCTGGTGGTGGTGATATTTAGGTCGTGAGCTGAACCAGGTGAAAGACAGGACAAGGAAAGAGCAATTTTGGAGCTTGTCTTGGAGAAACTGGATGGAGGCCAGCGCAGGCGCAGTTAGAGCAGCTGGAAGAAACCTAAAGCAAAGGCTGAGGGGCTTCTGGGGTCGGCTGTGCGAGGTCCTGGGACCCGCAGACGGAGCTCAGACTGTGCTGAGGACAGTGGGGGCCTCCCACGTGTGTGCACTGGTCCCATGTTACAGAGGTAGAGACTGAGGCTCAGCAACAGGCTGCACAGGGAACTGACAGCTGAGCCAGGAAGATTCTGGAGCTGGGGCCACACCCCCAACACTCTTAAACCCACATTCAGAAAGCCCTCCAGCCAGCAGCAGGGAAGCTGGGAGAATATTCCTGGCCACTGGGCCTCCCCCACCCAAGCCCCTCCCTGCTCTGGTGTTCTCTGTGGCCCCTTGGGCCTGTGTGGCCGTGGACTGAAGGCCATGTGTACACCCAGGCTCCCATCTCCGGTCTGGCCTCAAAAGCAGACCAGGAGGCCGAGGCAGGAGACTAGCTAAAGGAGGCTGTGACCAAAGCCTCTTGATGGTGTTCTGTCCACCTTCTTGGCCTGGACTCCAAGGCCTTGTCCTGCCCACTCACCTCCAGCCATCCCACCAACCCCCAGGGCTCCCCCAGGACCTGTGGACCGTGTAGGTTGGGCTGCCGTGCAGGCCCCGCCAAGTGGTCCTCCACCCTCGTGGCCCTGTGCCCTCCCCAGGCCCTGCCAGAGCAGCGGTTACCACTTCTCCCACACTGGGTGCCCCTTGACTCCCTGGAGCCCCGGTTACCCCGGGCTCTGAGCCTGGGATATGGAGGCAGGGCGAGGTGAGCTGAGTGGTAAGGTGCCAGGCGAGGGAGGGCTGCTGGGGTGGCATGCCGTGATCTTGGTTCTGCCTGAGGCAGCTCGGGATAACCACCTGCTCTCTCTTTCCCTGGTGCAGAGCGGTCCGGGAGGAGAACAAAGGGCAAGAAGAGCGACTCGAAAAGGAAAGGCCGCGAGGGCCCAAAGGGCAGCCCCGAGAAGAAAGAGAAGATGAAGGCGGGGCCCGACTCTGTCCTGGGGCAGCTGGGTGAGTAGGTGACCATGCTGGCCTGGCCAGCTGGCCTGGCTCACGGCGTCACTTGGCTTGCAGCCCCACCCCATGTCAGGCCAGCAGGGACCACCAGTGCCCCCACTACACAGAATGGGAGCTCCAGGAGGGCAGGACAAGGCCTTGGAGTCCTTCTTTGCCCAGGGACTCACACCTTCCAGGCACAAAGGCAACTGAGGTTTCAGAGCCCAGCGGCCACCCTGAGGAATTCCCATCCTGCAGACTGGAGGCTGTGCGCGGGAGGCTGACGCCCATCCCCCGGCCAGGCTCTGGGGTAGGAGGTTTCCCCAGAAGCCCTGAAGGGACCTCCAGGCCATCCGGGCCCTTCTGGGAGCCCTGTGCTTGGAAGCAAGGGCCCCAGAATTCTCTACCCTTGTCCCAGTCTGGAGAAACCTTTCCAAATGGGCGACTTTTCAGTACCAGGGACCTTCATGGGGCCACCCAGCGAGACCCAAAGGAGTGGCCAAAGGCTGGCCCAGCCTATCTTCCCTGTCACAGACCTCCTTACCACTGCCCCTTTACGCCAAGCAACCCTTGAGGGGACCCCCGCAGTGGGCTTTATGTCCCAGGACATCCTGTGCCTCCCCTAGAGCACACTTCCCAGGGACCGGGGGAGTGCCCTTCTCAACCTCATTTCTAGCAGAAAAACGCCAGGTCATCTTCATTTCCCTCAGTCCCAGTAAGGGGACTGCTTGTGTGTCCAGTGGGAGGCCCGGTCTCACCAGCTCTCCCGAGACCTGAATAGAGAGGGATGGCCCAGGGCTAGAGCAAGCCCTAATATCCAAGAGTGACTTTACACCCTGATGCCTCAGTACCCTGTTCATGCCTGACACCCTTATCCAGGTTCCTTGCTTTGGAAACTCCGAGAGGTAGTGCTCATAGAAACCCAGCGCCCCCTGGTGGCTGGAGGGCATTTTCCTCCACCACCCACTCCCCTCACCCCTCTACACCCTGGGGATGGGGGTGGTGGGCAGGGCCCGCCTCATGAGTGTGCACCTGTGCAGTATCAAAGGCCCTTGCTTGGTTTAATGTTTTACTGTGGGTACCTTGGAATTCTTAGTAACTTTTGAACAGGGAGCCTGCAGGGAGGAAGGTACCTGTTGGCATGCTGGGTCAGACAGGGCTTCCTGAAAGAGAGTAGGGACGTGCACCTGCGGGCATCTCACCGTCCTCCTCTCTCCCCGCCGCCAGGCCTGTCCACCTCCTTCCCCATCGACGGCACCTTCTTCAACAGCTGGCTGGCGCAGTCGGTGCAGATCACAGCGGAGAACATGGCCATGAGCGAGTGGTCCCTGAACAACGGGCACCGGGAGGACCCCACCCCGGGGCTGCTGTCGGAGGAGCTGCTGCAGGACGAGGAGACGCTGCTGAGCTTCATGCGGGACCCCTCGCTGCGGCCCGGCGACCCTGCCAGGAAGGCCCGAGGCCGCACCACCCGCCCGCCTGCCAAGAAGAAACCGCCACAGGATGGGTCTGGCTCACGGACGACTCCAGACAAACCCCCCAAAAAGTCCTGGGGCCAGGATGTGGGGGGTCAAGGTCAAGGACCACTCGCCAGGAAACCACCACGGCGAATGCCTTCTCACTTGCCGTCCAGTCCTACAGTTGGGGACTGTCCCATCCCAGCAGCCCCCAAGAGCCCGCCGCTGCTGGCCCCTGACACCCCCGACGAGGCAGCCTCAACGGCTGCCGACTCGAATGTCCAAGTGCCTGGCCCGACGGCGAGCCCCAAGCCCTCGGGCCGGCTTCGGCCGTTCCGCGAGAGCAAGGGAACCCGGAGGTCGTCAGGCGCCAGGCCTGACGCTGGGACAGGACCGCCTTCTACTGTGGCTGAGAGGCCAAAGGTCAGCCTGCGCTTTGACGCTGAGACAGATGGCTTCTTCTCTGATGGGGAGATGAGCGACTCCGACGTGGAGGCCGAGGACAGCGGGCTGCAGCGGGGTCCCCGGGAAGCAGGGGCTGAGGAGGTGGTCCGCATGGGGGTTTTGGCCTCCTAAGTCCCCCCGCCCCCACCTCAGGCCCTGTCCTAGTCCCCCGAGGAGGCCTCAGCCCAGACACAACTGCCATTTCCAACCTGCTGAGTGTCTCAGACCCTCTAGGTCACCACTCTGTTGAGGTTTTATTTTTAATATAGAGAGAGTGTCAAGTTCCACACTGTTGTCTTTCCTCTGTGCTGGCCGAGGACCTTAGGACTCCTTCCGTGGCCCCGGCTGCAAGGGCTGGGCCAGGTCCTGGCAGCACCTCTGCTGCCACTGAGGCATCCTCACCCGGCCCCTGTGGCCCCACTGGGCTCCCGGCTAGATGCAGACAAAGTGAAGGAAGCTCAGGGCGCCAGCCCGCCACCACTGGGGGACACAGACTGTCGTTTGGGCATTATTTCATGGCAGATGGGCCGGGCCAGGGCCTGCCCACCTTGCCCTCAAATCCCACTGGAGTCCTTTTGGGGGGTCCTGCTGCACTCCACTGACCCCCAAGGAAGTGTACGTGTAACCGGCACCCAGCAGAGTCTACTCACTGTCACAAGCACAACGAGCTCATACAAGAAAGCACTGAGGGCGCAGAGGGCCCCGCCGGTTCCAGGGGAACCACAGCCGTCCTGTCGACCCACATCTATCTAAGGCGTGCCCGCCCACCCCGAGACCCTCCACTCCCTTGCTGCTCTGTCCCTGCCAGCGCCCAGCCCTGCAGCTCTGGGAAGGGGTTTCCAGAATCCTTCCCGCGCTGTGCCACTTACTCAGGGGACTCCCAAGCAGCCAGCCGCCAGTGCCAGTGGAGGGCTGCCAGGGAGGGCCAGGGCCCAGACCGGGGCGTGGGCACCCACTCACCTGCTGCAGAGGGTCGCTCCGGGGCTCCGACTTCCTTCCTTCCTTAGTGGCCAGTCTCAGCTGAAGTCTGGTCACTCCCAGACAGCTGCCCAGACCAGACCGGTTGCCTTTTCAAGTTTCCCAGTCCGGCTAAGAGATGAGCTGCTTCCTCGGTTTCCTTTTGGGAACTCCCTTCCAACTAGCAGTGGGATCCCGGGGCCCAGGCGGCCGCCGCGTTGGCTGCTGCGGCTGTTGAGTCTTGCTGGAGGCTCCTGGTTCCTCTCCCTCCGAGCCTTAACCCCCTTTCCCACCCTGCCCTCCCCACCACCGACCTGCCTTTCCTACTCACCACCCCCTCCCACCCCCCCGCCTTCCCCCAGCCTCCCAGCCCCAGGTCCCAGGTAGTCGCTCTGAAGAGATTTAGTGGAGTGGCCCCAGGGTGATAGCTCAGGGAACAAACAAAAAAAGGAATTCAGTGAAAACATGTCTTTTTTTTCCTTTTGTGAATTACTTCTGGGTCACTTCCGCCACTGGTCATACGCCAGAACTTCTCCAACAAGAACCTTGCAAAAGTCCAGTGAATCAGTCGAATCATTCTGTGGATGCCAAAGAATATTTTGACCATAATACAGCACAGCCTGGACCTAACAACTTGTCGCTTGGACTTTTTTTTAAATGGAGTTCTTTAGCAACCAATACAGAACCACGTTTGTTGCGCACACCAAGGAGACAAGCCCGAGCTCTTGGAAGAGGATGCGGTTCTGCTGCTCGGCTGTGGGAACCAGGGACTGGGTGCTGGGTTCCAGGTCCCGGACCGGGCCCACCTCGAGCTTTCTGAAACTGAGACTCACGGGGGGGAGGAACACTGGTGGCGAAACCGGCACGGCCAGGGTCTCGGCCGCAAGGTTCCCCCACTGCAGACACACTCACCCCCGACTTCAAAACTATCAAGGTACGACAGTGGCGTTGTCATCGATACTCAGTTTCATGTGAATTTTAGCAAAATAGGAAACAAAGATGAGAACTAAGTGCAGGGGAGCGGACCCAGCGGGCTGCAAGCATTCTGGGCACTGGGATGGCACGGGCCACCAGGCAGCGGCCAGGCTGCCTGTCACCTCGGTCGGTAGTCGTGGCCAGTGCAGCATTAGCAGCAGCGTCCCAGCCCGGTTCTCCGTTTACTGCCTTTGAACAGACCTCCTTCCTCCCCGTGCTTCAGGTCACGGCCTTGTCTGTGCTGGACTGCCCAGTCTGACCTCGCAGGGAAAAAAGGGAAGAGCTTAAAGAACAACCAAACTCTCCCCGGGGCACATGGGGCAGGGGGGCCAGGGGTGGCTTGGGTCCAGCAGGCTCAGCACGTCCCCCTGACCTCTTCCTCCACCGGGAGGCACAGTCTGGGCTCCCTGGGGGTGGGAGAGACCAGGGTGGGGGTACGGTGGGCCTGGTGTGGGCAGGGCAGCCAGCCCTTTCTGGGGAGCCTCTGCTCAAGTTGGCCTTGGGTTCTGACCCTCTTCTCTGAGCTCTCGCTCTGTTTGGACCGGGTCGTTCCTGGGACAAGCCCTAACCTTGCCTCGGCAGGCCACTGTCCACCTGCAGGGTGTCCACCAGGAAGACAGGACGCCAGTTTCCACTCCCTTCCACCATCAGCCACGACCCCTCACTCTTTTTCTGGCCCACTGCCCACTGTGTTCACCGCTCTGCCGCCCCCAAGGTAGAGGTGGGAAGAAGGCGGGAGAGGCCTTTCCAGGCCAGAGGCTGGGGCAGACCTTGCACTTGACCATACCAGCCCTCAGGGAGGGTGAAGCTGCTCTGTGACTCGTTCTGGCTGTCATGCCCATTTCCCCGACCCCAGCTGCCCACCACCACCTTCACCCCCATCACAGTGAGAAAGGATAGTGTGCAAGGAAAGTATTTTTGTGGATCAGAGATGTATTTTACAACAAGGAAGGAGGAGAGGGGTAGAAGGATTTATTTTATTAAGTGAGCTCTGACCTGGTGACAGTGCGTGAGCGTCTGAGGGGCTCAGTTTTCTTGGAGAAGCCACCTTGGTTCCCAGATGTGGGGCTGGACTGCATTTGTGCGCGTGTGTCTGTGTGCACCGTGGGCGGGCACACTGGGACTCGCTGGGGCGTCCCTAGAGGATCAACTGCTCGACTCGGACACTGGCAGCGGCCGGACTCGGCATTCCCGTGCCTGCTGCCGGGGTGGCCGACCTCTGCCCAGGCCCAGCTCTGCAGAATGACCTGGACACCTGTAGCAGGGCCCCTGGGGAGGCCACTTCCCACGCCCCTGGCCCATCTGGCCACATTGGCCAAAGAGCCAGGGCTGGAGTCTGGGACTTGCGGTTGTTCTTCAGGGCACTTCCTGCCGCCTCGTCCCTGGGATACGCAGCACTGTGCTCCACGTCAGCTCGGGGTGGGGGGGGCGAAATGAATGTCACAGGAGGGGACTCCTCCTGTCTTTGTTTCAAAGAAAGTGATGTGCCATTTGTTAATATACAAGAGAAATATTGAAAATATATTGAAAAGAGCAATTTTAAATTATTTTTGGCTTATGTTGCAATATTTATTTTCTTGTATTAGAAAAGATTCCTTTGTAGAGAAAAAAATGTATTTTTCATTAATGCAAAGACCTATTTCTCCTTTTTGTACATTGTCCGTGGTCGCTCCCCCTAACAAGCAATAGAATGTATGGCCGCCCAGTGTGGCCGGCGCCTGCCGAGCCCTGCATGACTCTGTGTTGCCGCTGCTACGTAGCTTTCAGCCCCATCCTGTCCTGCTCACTCACGGGCTCCCCGACCCGGCCCCCACCAGGGCCTGTGTCTCAGGGAGCCCTCTGCACTCCTCATGTGTTGGCAAACGCAGTTAATAAAGCAATGTTTTCTGTGCTGGCTGGTGTGAGGCTTCTTCATGGCACTGAGTAGGGCAAGGGGTCCGAGGGTCCTGTGCAGCCACCAGACAGTGGGCTCCGTGAGATGGCAGTGTCCCCTGGGTGTCCCCCGGGACCCACTGCTGCCTCCTAAGGAGTCATGATAGTGATGGCCACAGCGACCACTCCATCCAAGTCACACCAGGGGCTGTGCTCAAGGGCCGGGATTCTTTGGCTCCTCACTGTCGTCATCCCCTGGACTCAGAGCATGTGAGAGATGTCCCTGAAGCCACACCTCTGGTAAGAAGTGAAGCCCTGCGTCACAGGCAGGACTGTGGGATTCTTGCCACTCCCGTGGACCACCTGCTTGGGGCAGTGGGAACGTTTGTAGGCAAGCTTGGACATCTGTCCCTACATCAGGGAAGAATTTTGCCCAGGGTTGTTTTTCATTCATTGTTTTCTGAGAACGAACTCCACTCCAGGCTCTGGGAAGTGTGGGAAACGTCACCGGCCCTGTCTAGGGCAGCTCACAGTCCAGGCAGGAGGGAGGAACTGGGAGTCATTGGGCTGGTCTGGGTAGGGGGACACTCAGGATGCAACATCGTTCGTTCATTCATTCATTCACTCAACAAGGAATCTGTTGACTGTACACCTGGTTCTGCCAGTGTGTTGGCTCGTTGGCTATGTGTTGCCCCAGGACCTGCTCTAAGAGCTTCCAGGCAATGGAACCTGAAAAATAAGCAGTTGCTCGTCCCAGGGGAGCCGGGTAGAAGGAAGAGACCAGAAGCATTCCCAGTAGAGGGCGTGGCTCACGGAAAGGCCAGTTAAACTCTGCATGCAGGGGTCTTAAACCTCAGAGCCCAAGGTGAGGCTGTGTGGAGAGGGTTGAACAGGGAATCTAGCTTCTGGACCCACTGAGTCCTTTCAGGCAGAGAATTGCCCCATTTCCTCACCAGTGCAGTAAGTGGCAAGTCCCCAAAGGCACCTCTAGAGCCAAAGTTCTGTGACGCCACAATGCGGAAAAGCATTAGAAGTGAACCTGGGGATCCTGGGAGCCAGCCCATCCCACCCAGGCGTGGAGCAGCTCTGGCCTGCTGCCCCGGCTTGGCACCCCAGCCTGCCCCTCCTGTCCTGGCCAGCCCAACACCCTACTGGTCAGAAGAGTGAGGCAGGGTCCCCCCAGGCCCCGGTGGAGCTGCGCCTGACAGCAGCCCAGCTGGTTGTGGGGGTGCCCCTGGGCGTCTGAGGCAGCAACGTTCAACAGAAGCACAGTGCGAGTGGTTCTGGTAGCCACACATTTAAAGAGTAAAAAGTACAGGAAAAAATGATTTTTTAAATTGTATTTAATCCATTTAAGTCCATTGTGATCACTTAAACATGTGAGTAATATAAAATAATTAATGAACTACTTTACATTATTCTTCGCACTGAGTGTGTGGCTTACACTCACAGCACATCTCGATTCAGACCGGTCACATCTCAAGGTCAACAGTCATGTAGTTAATAGCTCTCCATTGGTTGGTCCGGCCCTAGGTGCCCTCAGCTGCCCCCTGGATTACCTTGGTCTCCTCTCCGATCGAGCTCCTGGGCCTGCACTCCTGCCACTGCGTCTGCAGTCCCGGCCGGGAGAGAGCCCAGGACCGCACAAGTGTAGGCCCGCCTGGTTGCCGTCACCGCCCCCCACCCCGCCCCCAGCCCCAGCTCTGCCCTTCGGAGGGCCGGTTCTCTGCCAGCGCCTCCCCGGAGGGGACTGTCCGCCCATCCCCACACCAGTCTCGCTGCACTGACTCAGCCCTCCGAGTGCCTGAGGCCATGAGGATGACCACGGGCGTCCGTGCTGAATCCAGGCCAGAGTGAGAGCAGACGAACCAGAGCATCCCAAGGCTCTGTGCTGCCAGTGAGCCCAAGGCCGGCGGGGAGGGAGGTCTCTGCCGGCCCTGACCTTCCCCTGTCCTCACTAAACTCCTGTAAGTAGGTTCTGGGGTGCCATCTGCCACCTGCCGGGCCAAAGCCCTGAAGCCTGGAACTACAAGAGCCGAGGCCCACGAGGCGGGGGGCCAGCCCTGCATTTCCCCATCTCAGAACTCCAGTTCCCTCTCCCTGACCCCTGCACGCCAGCGCCTCCCAGTGCAGAGAAGGATCTTCTCTATCAGCTTCTGGAACAGGGAGGCAGTACACGGACAAGAGGCCTCCTGGGAGAACAGGCGTTGACTGAGGCCTGCTGGGTGCCCACCCCGGGTGGGTTGGGGAGGCCAAGGAGACCCAGGCTCTGACTTCTCGCAGCTGAAGAAGAAAGGCAGAAGTCCGCCGAGGGCTGGAGAGTGAGCGCTCCCTGCCCGCAGCATCCGCCCCAGTCCCTTTCCTGCACCTGTGTCTGTGCCCAGAGCTGCCAGAGGGGGGCAGCAAAGGCCCCCTTTCTTGGAGACATCTCAGGACTCCTTCCGGCTGAACAGTAGGTTGCTCCCAGTGATCTCACAGTTGCCCTCCCCTTCACAGGAGACCCCTGCGCTTCAGTCTCACCTGGCCAGGCTCTTGCGGGCAATCAGAGGGCCAACTTCTTCACACTGTGACTGAGCCAGCCCCTCACCTCCCCCTGTGTGTGTCTCCCCCTCCATCTACTCTTCCTCCCCAATGATGAGAGAGAGGCTCAGGCAGAGGCACAGGAGGCTTCACGATCACCAGATGGTGTTGCCCAATTGAAACAAAAAGAGAGAGATCACAAAATATAAGTTTTAGTCCTGGCCAGGTAGTTCAGTTGGTTAGAGCATCACCCTGATATGCACCAATGTTTCGAGTTCAATTCCCTGTCAGGGCACATACAAGAATCAACCCATGAGATGCATAAATAACTGGAATAACAAATCCATGTTTCCCTCTCTCAAATCAATAAATAAAATATTTTCAAAAATAAGAATTTTAGCCCTGACTGGTGTGGCTCGGTGGGTTGAGCAGCATTCTGCAAACTGAAAGGTTGCCAGTTCAATTCCTGGTCAGTGCACATGCCTGGGTTGTGGGCCAGGCCCCCAGTTGGGGGCGTGTGAGAGGCAACTGATGGATATTTCTCTCAAACGTCAATGTTTCTCTCCCTCTTTCTGTCTCCTTTCCCCTATCTCTAAAAATATGTAAAATCTTTCAAAATATTAATTTCAGGGCAGCCTTGGGAGTTCAGGCAGACTCATTGCCAGGAGTCAAAGAAAGAGAGGAAAGGATGAGGGGTTCATCAAGCACGTGACGTGAGGGGCAGCTGGCTGGATCGGGGGGCTGCTCCATCCCCAGTGCCCCGAGCCAGGCCTGGAGCTCAGAAGTGTCCACGTCATCCACTCTGAGGGAACCTGGGTTGGGAGACAGAGGCCCTGGTGCTGGCTTGTCAGGGAGGCCTCCAGTGGGCTAGATGGTAGGGTGGCCTGATTTAGCACATAAAAATACAGAACACACACGAAGAATGCTTCAGTACACATATGTTCCAAACACCACATCCTGTATTTTTCCTGGCAATCCCATTGGGAGGCCTTGTGTCCTCTACTACCCTGGGCCCTGGCAGAGGGTTGGTGCTGGCGTGGGGTTTACCGTCATGTACAAATGGCAGCCGATCCAAGACCATTGCCACAGCCCCAGAAAATGCTCACCCCTGCAGTGTGAGAGCAGTGGGAAGGACACTGCAGCAGTGGCCAGAACAGACAGAGCCCAGCCCACATCTGTCTCACTGTGTGAGCTACAGCGCCTGCCGCATCTTACTTCCCAACTTGGACAGTCCTGCAAGGCGCCCGGCTCCCTGCAGCTCCGTGAGGCCCCCAGCCCATTTATTTGCTGACTTGGGTCAGCAGCCTTTGAAAGCACTCGGGTTGGCTGCAGCACTGTTCACTAGAGCCAAGAGGTGGGAGCAACCCAAGTACCCATTTATAGATAAAGGGATAAAGAAAACGTGGTAGATGCAGATAACAGAATAGTATTCAGTCTGGAAAGGGAAGGAGATTCTGACATAAGCTGCAACATGCATGACATTGAACACACTCTGCTAAGTGAAATCAGCCAGTCACAAAAAGACACATCCTGCACCATCCCACTTATGTGAGCCATCTACAGGTCCTACAATGTATCAAACTCATAGACACAGGAAGTAGGGCGGTGACTGGCAGAGGCTGGGGCGGAGGCGGTGTGAGGTACTCCGTGGGTGCAGCGGAAGGGTGTGGGGTGCTGGGAATCTGGGGCACAGCCGTGTGCTTGTTGTGGACTGTGCCGTGCTGTGCACTTGGAAATTGTTGGGAGGGTAAATTTCGTTTTGTGCTTTTCTGCCACAATTAAAAAAAAAAAAAGAATACTATACAGGAAAAAAACCTCTGTTACATTCAGTAACATACAACTTCTTTGTTGCAACAGCAAACATAATATTAAGCAAAAGGTGCTATTCTAACACATTGAAGAGAAGAAAGAGCTCACATGTTGGGCCTTTTTGTGGGGCTCCCAGGACTCCCCGACGCCCGCAACTCAAACTCAAGTTCAGGCTTCCTTTCATTATCATTGCTCCCTCCCCAAGGCTTTTCGCCCGGCACTGTCGAGAAATATGGCTGACCCAGGAGTGAGGAGACCAGGGTTCGACACCTCTCTCTGCCGCGGACTTAATGCCCCTCCGTTTTCCCATCTGAACAATGGGAGAAGAGCTCGGCGGTACTGGGATCTCTGAAGTCCAGGTCCCAGGGGGAGGGTCCGTGGTGAGAGGATGCGTTAGTGAGGATCAAGTGAGAGCCTGCAGGCCCTTTAAGTCAAGGTCCGCTGGGTGAGGTGGGTGGTTGGTGGGTTGGCTAGGTGAGCCCCAGGCCGGACTTGGGCGAAGGGAGGGCAGTAGGAAGCTTTACCGACTGGCACCCAACCAGGACGCCATCGGCTGCTGCGATGCTCCTGTCACCAGATGCAGGGGCAGGAGGCGCATAGTGGTAGCCGCGGGTGTGACCACAGGACAGGGATTGGCGGGGCCCCTTGACGTGACGGCGGGGCTCAGCCCGCAGCAGGGCCCCAGGCACT